TTGTGTACTTTCAAACTTTACAATTGCTGTATGGTTCTTTGTTATAACTTCTGTTTATATATATAATTGCCTATTTGGTGAAATAGTCTCCTCATGCTTTAGTTGTTTATACACAGTGTTCTTTCATTCTTGAACATCCTCTAAATATCTGATTTAAAGTTTTTTGTCTGCTAAGTCCAGTATCTGGGCTTTCTCAGAGACGTCATCTGTTGACTTTCTCCCCCATGTGTGGTACATTTTTATTGCTTTGCATGTTCTATAATGTTTTGTTTAAAAACTAAATCTTTAAAATAATACAATATGACAACTGGAAATCAGATTATGTTCCACCTTAAGGTGTTTTGTTTTTGTTTTTGTTTTTTTGCTGTGTCATTATGGTTATTCTTTGTTTAGTGACTTTTCTAAACTAATTCTGTTAAGTTAGTATTCTTTGTATTCTGTGCCCATTGAGATCTTCACCTAGTTAGCCTATTAGTGGTCAGCTAATGATTGAACAGAGGTTTCCTTATATATCTAGAATCATAAGACTCTCAGTGTTTGCCACGAGGGCTCTGTGTGTCTTGAGGAGGAAGGATGAGAATAGTGCATTTGTTTGTTGGTTCGTTTTACCTTGCAGCTTCAGCTCAAAAGAAGAATAGTACAGTTTAAAATGCCATGATAGCTTGATTTTCTTGAATAGACATTCCTTGATGGCTGTAAGCCTATGGTTAATTCCCAGAGTTCTTTTGTTTAATGAATTTACATTTCCCCCCTCCCACCCTGCAAAACAGCAACAACAACTCACAAGAGACCCACAACATTAAGTGTCATATCTGGAAGAAAATGAGTCACCTTTATGAAGTATATTTTTCTAGCTGTTTTCCTGATTTAATCTTTGCTTAACAATCAGTTCTTTATTTTGGCATTATTTGCACTCTATATAGACTGAGAATTTTCAAAACAATACCTGCTGTCTCTTTGTTTAACGGTCTGGATTAAGCTGCTCTTGCATTGCTATAAAGAAATATCTCGGCCCAGAGTGATGGCTCATGCCTATAATCCCAGCACTTTGGGAGGCCGAGGTACGTGGACCACTTGGGGTCAGGAGTTCAAGATTAGCCTGGCCAACATGGCGAAACCCTATCTCTACTAAAAATACAAAGCTTAGCTGGACATGGTGGCAGGTACCTGTAATTCCAGCTACTCAGGAGGCTGAGGCAGGAGAATCACTAGAACCTGGGAGGGGAAGGTTGCAGTGAACCACGATCACACCATTGCACGCTGTTGCCCATTGCACTCCAGCCTGGGCAACACAGCAAGACTCTGTCTCAAAAAAAAAAAAAAGAAAGAAAAGGGGAAAAAAAGACAAATATCTCGGCCTGACCAGTATGGTAAAACGTCATCTCTACCAAAAATTCAGAAATAAGCTGAGTGCAGTGGCGCACACCTACAATCCCAGCTATTCAGGAGGCTGAAGCAGGAAAATCATTTGAACCTGGGAGGCAGAGGTTGCAGTGGCCTGAGATCGTACCATTGCACCCCAGCCTGAGTGACAGAGCAACACTCCATCTCAAAAAGAAAAAGAAAAAAAGAAATACCTGAGGCATGTTGGCTCATGCCTATAAGCCCAGCACTTTGGGAGGCTGAGACAAGCAGAGCACTTGAGGCCAGGAGTTTCAGACTGGCCTTGCCAAAATGACAAAAGCCAACTACTACTAAAAATACAAAACTGAGCTGAGCGTGGTGTCACAAGCCTGTAATCCCAGCTATTCAGGAGGCTGAAACATGAGAATTACTTGAGCCCAGGAGGTGGAGGTTGTAGTGAGCCAAGATCATACCACTGCACTCCAGCCTGGGTGACAGAGAGAGACCCCCCCAAAAAATAGGTTTAATTAGCTCATGCTCTTGCAGTCTGTGCAAGCATGACACCAGTATCTGTTCAGCTCTGGTAAGGTCCTCAGGAAGCTTACAGTCGTGGCAGAAGGCAAAGCAGAAGCCGACATATCTCATGACAAGAGAGTAAGAGAAAGGAGGTCCCAGACTTTTAAACATTACAATCGTGGTGGAAGGCAAAGCACTAGCTGGCATATCACATGGCAAGACAGAAAGAAAGAGGAGGTTCCAGACTTTTAAACAACTAGATCTCACATGAACTGAGGGAAAACTCACTTATCACTGAGGGGATAGTGCTAAATCATTCATGAGGGATCCACCCGCATTGTTACTAAAGCACCGGGAATTTGATGTAGGTCTTGCTGCTTGCTTCACAGAAAGCCAATCACTGAAACAACAAGTATTGCCAAGGAAGAAGGCTTTAATTGGGAGCTGCAGCCAAGGCGATGGGGCACTCAGTCTCAAATCCATCTGCCTGACAAAAACTAGAAGTTGATATAACAGGGGAGAAACATAGCAGTGTGTAAGAAAACAAGAATTAGGGAAGGGGCAAGGAGACAATCATGGTGAATGAGGGATCCATGATGTGGGGCCATCATCTGGTGAGTTTCAGTTCTTTGATATTTTCTTTGAGAGGCCTGAAGGTCCTTTTCTGAGGAAGGAACTCAGATAAAACAAGTTGTAAGCCTTTTAAGACCAGAAGGGGCAATTTCTGTGTTTATCAAAAAGAACAGTCTATGGGGGTAGTTGGGTTGGTTTGACCATGATCCAATCACATCCCATCAGACCCCCCCTTCAATATTCAGAAACACATTCCAACATGATATTTAGAGGGGACAAACATCTAAACCATATCACAGTTCTTCCTTTAGTTTATCTCTTCCTTTTTGCACTTTACTATAATTAGCAAGAAGAAACCAGGGGCCACCTTCCACTCATTGCTTAGCTATTTCCCTAGATAGATCACCCAATTCATTGGGCACATTTTCTACTTCCCAAGTTACTGAAGACGACAGTGTTGTGAAACTTTCTGCCATAACATAATTCCAATAATATTTACCTCATTTTTCTAGTTCTTCTGCAGCCTTCTTAAAGGCTGTGAGTATTCTATTAACAGCTTATTTAAGTTACTTCAGCCTTTCATTAATACTATTCCCAAAGCCCATGTCCTGTTTCGAAAGTAACGCCTACATTTTCAGTTTTTATTACAGCAGCATCCCACTAATATGTACCAAAATCTTTATTATTTGCTACTCCATAACAAATTACTTCCAAAATTCAGCAGTTTCAGGTAACAGACATTTATTATTTCACATTTTCTCTGGGGTCAGGAACCTGAGAGTTGCTCAGCTGGTTGGTTTTGGCTCACTTTTTCACAAGGCTGCAATCAAGAAGTGATCTGGGTTGTGGTCATACGAGATTTGATTGCTGTAGAACATCTTGCAAGTTCACACATTTGGCTGCTTGCAGAAGGCTTCCATCTTTCTTCATGTGAGCGACCTCATGGGACTGCTCACAGTTACGGCTTTCTCTAGAATGAGTGATGACAGAGAGAGAGATGAAGGGACACATGAGTGAAAGAGAGAAGGAGATAGAAAAGGAGAGAGAGGGAAGGGGAGAGAGGGGAACAAAAGAGATGAAGGGGGACAAAAGAGAAAACAACAACCAAGAGCATCAGTGTTCATCAGTGTCCAGTATAAAACCTTCATTCATTTATAACATAATCTCCAAAGTGACAGATACTTTCACAATACACTATTGGTCACACAGACCACCCATGATACAACATGGAGGATGAAGGGGTATTGCACAGCAATGTTTTATCAAGAGGCAGTAATTATTGAGGACCATCTTGAAGCAGCTGCCACATAGGGCTTTGTAAATTAGTTAACTTTGGAAAATGAAGAATTAAGGGAAAAAATAAGTGTTTCTTTCTAATAGGGGGCAGTAAACCCCATTTCCAGATGGCAGCATTCTTCTGGGCAAATATTTACTACTAGCTTGATCCTTGTAAAAAGTTGATTTTACAATTCCTGACCTACATCTAAATCTTAAGTTACTTACTTTTTTGTAGTTATGACAACTTGTGCAAGTGATTTAGGAGGCTCACTAACCAATCAACAGCTGAGAAGCATTCTCTCTGTCTGTGTTTCTCCCTCTCTTTTGCCAAGTTTTTTGGTTTTACACATGGACTTATTCCCCAATATAATATAAAGAGACAAAAAGTGAATGGGTGAATAAAACAGAGTAGCACTATCTATTGTGCTTTAAACTTTGCTCTAAATTCAATTCTAAGGTAGAGCCCTAGTAACATGATATGGATCTAATTATGTCTGTCCTTTATGGCAGTTGTACTTGATCAAAATGTTTTGGGTAAAACTCTCAATGATATTCTCATTGTACAGAATTATCTTAGGATATCCATGCTGAAATATTTAGGAGTAAATTGTGATTATTCTGCAATTTCGATGGTTCTACAAATAAAAATAAACTAAAAAGACAGCAAATTTGGCAGACCAGTAACATTTCTTGAATATTAGTGGAAACTGTATCATCGTACTGTTTTTTCATTTTCTCTTTATGATCAAAATTTTTCTATATAAAAAATCAAGGAAATAAAAAATCCTTGATGATGACATTCAGGATATATATGCAATGCACATTTTACAGAATTGAAGAATTTAATGGATACAGAATTATAAGAATTTATAATGTTTTCCTAGTTAATGCATGCACTTTGTATATTAGGATAAAAATTGGTTATTCATACAATTTATGTTCACATACTGTTTTAATATCTTAATAAAATACATCTGAATGAATATTAGAACTCTTGAGAATAAATTGTTCCGCTTCTATGTATAATTCTTTATCTGTATTTTAGTTTGGGACCAGAGAATGTTTAATCATACGAAATAATTAAATATGCTACATTTTGATTGATATATTATTATAAAACTAATTAAATCTACAAAGCTTCTGTTGCTAATTCCCAGAAAACAGTGGAAGTTATGGACTGATGCTAAAAGACTTCTGAAATCATTAATTTGTAATAAAAATAAATTTAAATGTTGGTAAAATTTGCATTTCTCTTTTTAAAATGATTATTATATTTATTTCTTCCCTAGATCTTCCTCAGAACTGTGATCCTAACATTCCCCTAGTTGCTCAGGAATTAATGAAAAAGATGATACGTCAATTTGCGATTGAGTACATTTCAAAAAGTGGTAAAACTCAAGAGAATAGAAATGGTTCAATTGGACCAAGTGTAGTATGTAAAAGTATCCAAATGAATCAAGCAGAAAACTCCCTTCAGGAAGAGCAGGAAGGCCCCTTAGACCTCACTGTGAATCGAATGCAAGAACAAAATACTCAGCAAGGTAAGATTTTTGTGTGCATGTAATATATAATTTTATGTTGTATATCCTTAAATGCATATTTGCAACTTTTTATATTCATAAGGAAATTTATTTTGGATGTAATGACTTTTAATTTGTTCATGTAATATGGACTAGAAAGAATACAAATTTACAGCTTTTGTATTTGCATCTTTGTTCATGAAAGAGGAAATTTTAGTTGATTTCAACTCCTTTTGCAATAAAGTTTATGATGAACAAATCCTAATAAACAGCTTAAAAATAAAGGATATAAATAAAGAGATGTTTATAAGAAATAACTGTTTTTTGAGTGGACAGCTAAAAACATTAATTAAGCACCTGCTTGTTTAGTTTTTTTTGTACTTAGGTGAGGAAAAAAGTAGATGATTTATCTTCCAGTTTATGATGTAACTGGGAACAGAGGAAATGGAATATGTGTGACAAATATAATGTTATCATGTAACTAACTGTATGGAGACATAAGTCATAAGGAGCCTGTGCAATGAAGACCATGTTGGACTTTAATTAAAAGAGAAGCATAACTTCACAGAGGAAAGGCAAGAAGAGGCTTTTAAGTATATGTGAGGACTTAAGTGTTTATCCGAGCAAAGGACAATTGAGGTAGCTTTTGTTAATATGGGTTAGGAATCGTATTGTCAGTTTTTGAAGCCATAAGAAAAAAGCATTAAATTTAATACCAGAAAGCAATGATGTTAGTTTGGGTCTCTTAAGAAGAATATACTAGTAAGTGTTTGAAGAGAGAGTTGTTTCAGTGTGTAAATCAGATTAAAATTTAGAGAGGCTGAAATATGGGAATAATTTTTCCTTTTTCATTCACTAATACTAGGTTGCAAGCATTTATGTGACAATTTCTGACAAATTTTAAGATAATAGGTTAGAAGACAGAGAAAGAAATGTTAGATAACTATGATATCACATGGGTGTCCAACATTTTGGCTTCCCTGATTGTGTTGGGCCACACATAAAATAAACTAACGATAGCTGCTGAGCTTTAAAAAGCAGGGACTGGTGGTGGTGGTGGGTGGTGGTTCCCTGTGCAATTTTTATGGTATCTGCCACCACAGATAAGAAAAAAAAAAAAAAAATCCTCACGTCAAAGGGTTGGACACCCCTGAAGCCTTAAGGAAAAAAAATATCAGTACATAGAATTTTGGAAATCAGAAAACAGAGGATTTTTAGAATTTTTTTTATTTGCTTTTCCATGCCTTATATTCCCTTGTGTCTCCTCTCATTTTGGGGATTTCTGAAGAGACTAGAACATAGGCTTTGGTATGTGACAGGCTTGTGGTTGAAATCCCAGCTCTGTTACTTAAGTTACAGAGTAGGTAACTTAAGTAATAGGTAACGTTACTTATCAGACCTTTAATTTCTTCCTTTGTAATTTGGCCATAATAATAATGGACCCATTGGAGCAATGTGAGAATTAAATATTTAGTAACAAACTCATGAAAGATACTCAAATACTAGTCTCACCATACTCTCTCCCTCCTATTCCTTACCACCAGAGAAGAAGCCTTAGAAGTAATGTGATAGTGATCTATAAATATTTGTATGGCTGTTACCCTAACATAGAACTGAATTTTCTGTGAATGGTCCAATGAGTAGAATTAGGATGACTGACTAGCTAGAGGTTAGAGAGAAACAGATTTTAAAAGTAAATTTCCGGTTTTTAGATTTTGATTCTATGAAGTTAAGTGGCAAGACAGATCCAAGTATATATAGAAAACAAGTCATGTAATTATTTAAATTATTATAATAGTCTAAGTAAAGTGCAAAAATATGTGAAAATCCTGAGGGTGGAAAGACTAGTGATAGTGGATATAAATCTGTAAGTAGTCTTCTTGATAATTTTAATTTTTGGATAACTTTTTGTCATGTGATTCTGGTCTTACTTGAGGGTAGAAATTATTTAGTTTAATGTGATTTAAGATATAGAGGGTAAGGGGAAGAATGATGACAGATGAAGCTAAAGAAGTAAGTAGGGATGAAATTTCGATTTTTCTTGGAGTCGTAGAAAGCTACTAGACTGAGAGTAACAAGATCATATTTTCTTTTATGAAACCATTCTGCCATGGTATGGATTGGCAGTTTCTTAAAATTTGCCTGCTTGCACACCAAACAAGGAAAATTTGAGCACATACCCTTGGATGCATTTGGGTGTGCATATGTATGTGTGTGTATGTACCTACTAACACACTATATGTACTAATCTTTCTATAAATATTTTAGGATTTAAATTAAAATGTTATAAACAATTTTTATAAATGCCTTGCTAATCATGATGACTTCACTGCCAGTATCTTAACTGAATGATAATATACTTTAGAAGAGATTCATTAGCAATGATAGAAAGTATAAACCCATATTTCAAATAGCTTCCTTATGAATTTAATCCTTTTTGGCCAGATTTCACTGTTTTTACCTCATGGTATAGTCAGTAAAGAGCTTATACTAGTGGTAGCAGTGTCAGCTATGCTCTTTTTAATGTTGTTATTTGCTAGTGCTTGCATTTTTAATATTTTTCTCACTATAATTTTTAACAATACTCATTTAAGCCAGTTATTTATTTGATGAGTTACTTTATTCAAATTAGATGATAATCCATAAATCCAATAGATAATATGTCCATAAATTATGTAGATAAATTTATGGATAGTACAACCCATAAGCTTATGAAATTCTCCATGCCAAATGGTTTTATAGGTAACTTTATATACTCTTAAAGCAACAGATAATCCCTATTTTGAGCTTTCCTTTTTTTCTACTCTGTTTTGAATAGTAGAAAAAAAAAGAAATATTGATATAATCTTGATACCCAAACCAGAAAAAGGTAGCAAAAGAAAGAAATATTGCAACTTACAAACCTAGAAGCAGAAATCCTTAATAAATATCAGCAAGTTGAGTACAGTGATTATAAGAACGTAATAATGATTAAGGTGGCATGAATGATTAAGCATTTGAAAAATTTTCTTAATTAAAAAAACTATATCATCCTAATAGATACAGAAAAAGTTATTCCACAAGAGCTGACATATTTATGATAAAAAGGGCTTATCAAACGAAGAATAATAGATGGGTGCTTCCACTACCAAAAACATTATAACATAAAGATTTAAAATAAAAGATAACACAAAAAATGCACACCATCATCAGTTTTAAACATTTGATGAGTGATCCTCACTCAGCTACCCAATTAGAAAATCTAGTTTTAAAAAGATTATAATTGCAATAGCTGCAACAACAGGAAAAACAGTAAAATGCCTAAGAATGAAACAGATAAACTATATCAGGTCTTATGGAAAATATTATAAAAATACATTGAAGGAAGTTAAAGATGACCAGCAAAATGAGTAATTATACTTTAAATGAATGTGAGACTGAAAGATGATAGCAGTTTACCCTTAATGTGCTTACAAATTCAATGTCATTCCAGGCAGAATTCTGACAGGATTTATTGTTAAATGTGGCTTGCTGATCCTAAAATTTACAAGCAAGACTTAAAGAGCCAAGAATAATCAAGGTGGTAAATATAGTCTTGCTAAATGTAGCAACATTTATTAAGTGCAGTAATTAAACCAGGGTGCTATTGCCCAGGATAAAAATAAGTAGGACAGATCAGTAAGCCCAGAAGCTCCCAAACAGTAGTGGAATCTTTGTATAAGACAGAAATGTCATGATAAATCACTGAGAAGAACACCATATTCATAAATAGTTCCAGGGCAATTGATTACCCAAAAGGGGGATAAGTGGTGGATCCCTACCTCATACCACTCTAAAAAATAGTTGAGTTTAAAGGCTAAATGTGAAAAGCAAACTAAAAGAGAGGAAATTAGAGGATAATATCTTAACTCAAAATAGGGAAGAAGTTCTTAAAATGCAAGAATCACAGTCCATAAACAATTTTGTATATTTGACTATATTTAAATCTAAAACTCAAGTATAGAAGTCATTGAAGAAAGTGAAATGTCAAGCCTCATCTATAACTGATGTATCTAGCAAGCATTCCACTAACAAAACTACAACCAGTGAGACAGACAACTAATGAGAAAAATAGGCAAAAACAAGTATCAGAAGAAGATATTGGAGTAGCCGAATAAGCAAAGAAAAAGATACTTAAAAGAATATTTTGTCCAGCTTCCTTCCCTATATGGGATTCTTTTATTCTGTAAGAGATGGTAATTCAGCCTCTAACTAAGTATTTACATAAAATCTTTGGCAACTCTAATAGTGAACCTCATAGCTATGAAGAATATACTCATTGTTTTATATTTTTTCATCTGCAACAGCATTTTACTTTACTGTAAATACTTGTAAAAATTATTACATCTCTAAGACTTTACTTTTCCATGATAACCTTTAGGGTTTTCTTCTGTTTTGCTTTGTTTTTTCTTTGTGCACCAATATAAGAAACTCTAGTCCTTCGACATAGTAATGCTGTAGATATTTGTTGAAACTATTATGTTTCTTCAAATGTCTGTTTTCCATGCAAATCTTTTCAGCGTTCTTACTTGTTCTTCATAAGTCAGTTTCCATCTTCCTAATTGTTACTGCCTTTTTCTTTCACAACTCTATACTGACTTAAAATATGGTTACCCTGAGGAAAACATGGCAATTTTCATCTCCATTGTACTATTCTATCCAGGCATTTCAAATATTAGAGGATATTTCTTTGTACATTTTAAATTCTTCGGATTTGTATAAATACTCTGAGCTTCAGAAACTGGTAGGAAGGTAAAGCATGTATTGCCCATACCCAGGATTCTTTTTTGTCCTAGTACATTGAGTTAAGAAACAGGTATAAATAACATTAGTGTGCCAGGTATATATTTTTTAAATATCAGATTTAATCTGGGGCCAGAGTAAAAACTTATCACAAATTCCAGTGTACAAGAAGAAGTTTGCAACTTGACCTTTATCATTACTGTAACAACTGTGAAGACTAGGCCAATCCAATACAGAACAAGAATGGATGTGGGCAGAGA